CCATTAGGCTAGGTCCCAACCCCCCCAACCCTTCCCGTGCGGTGGGTTCATTTTCCCTCACCGATCTTGACTTTCTTGTTTCGACCGATTCGCTTCCCATGGGTGCCCTCGCCCGCGAATCGACCGTCCGGTGCCCATTGGTCTTTGCGGGGTCTTTTTTCCACCAAGTTGCAAGCGCAGCTGACTTTCTTGCGAAGGGTTCCATGCCGCCATGCCGATGACGCCGCCCAAAATGGCTATCAGCCTTGACTTGAACAACGATGCACCTGGAGCTCGGTCAACATCCTTGGACAACACGCGAGCTCCAATGAAGGTGTAAAAATTCTGCCACAGCGTCGGGTTGACGATCGGCTTGGTGAGCAGGTCTGAGGCAAGTTCGGCACCTGGAACATGTTGGGTCTTCCAACAGCTCTGTTGAATGCGCTCCTTCAGCCACAATTCACCTCCTCCAACTCCCCCTTAGGCTCAAGCCCCAGTGAAAGCGACTTGCCAACATCCGAAGACAAAGACCAGTCCAAAGAATCCAGAGAGTCCTCCCCCCCAGCTCTGCATGTTGCCAGAGCTGGAACCGACTCCTCATACAGCGCTCCCACGCGGCCAGCCAATGGATGGTCAGGTAGTGGAGGCTTCACGGCAGGCGCCTCTTCGAGTTCCACGATCGCCTGATCAGCTATCGGCGATGGTTCAAGCGCAGTGCGCACATGCAACAACTGGCCCTTCTTGTCCCGGACAACCCAGCCATGCGACATGTATGGGCAGGGACCAAGGAGCTGCATAGTTCGGTATGGCATGGAGAGCTGACCTGCACGATGCCATCTTTTGGATTTGACCAAAACTGATGCTCCAAAGCGAAGCATAGGAGGACTTTCCAGTCCAAGTCGTTCAAGTTGTAGTCGAACACGTTGTTCGGCAGCATGGCGAAGGGCAACTGGCCAGAAGGAGTGAGGTAGTCCAGCATCATGAAGGAACAACCTGGCGCGACGTTTGAGTTGGTTCACTTCTCCTTCAACCCGGCCATTGGCCTTGGAGTCATCGCCAGCCGTCATAGTCAAGCGAATCTGTCGCTGTTCACACCATTTTTGAATTGGTGCTGAAGCAAATGATCGTTCACGATCGGTGTGCAATCTGTAGACCTGGATGCCCAGCATGCGGTACCCGGTACTTGGCGCGCACGGGACAAAGCACGGACCAGTGACTCCACCGTGCGATCAGGGATCACTTCAGCCAGGGTGACATTTTGATGTCCTTGAGGTTCTTGAGACTTCTCAATCTCAGCCATTTCATTGAGCCTCCGGACTTCATCTTCAGGGACTAGGTCACGGTCTTCCGGCTCACAGGGAATTTCCTCCGTGTGCTCCACATCCTTGGCGCTGTCGCAGGGCTCAGTGACCTCACCTGGAAGCTCAGAGATGATGGGGACGGCCACAGTTGAGACCAATGCATACTTGCAGATGACTCCTGTGCCCAAATCTTTCCCTTCAGGAAACGGTCCACAAAGGTCGGCTGACATGGTGAACTTCGCGGCGCTCCCCCCAAGCCTTTTGTGTGGTTTATCGCAGCCCATAGCTTCCCCACAAATGCGGCAGTCAGCACGAAAGGGGATGTGACCCTGTTTCATATGTCGATGCCAAGCTGCAAGGTCCATTTTGGAGACATGGTGACCCTCTCCAGCCCCCTTTTCCTCCTCCAAAACGCCAAGCAACCTCCTCAAAGCTTCTTGAATCGCTGCCACAAGGCCTGGTGCCCATGCAGCCCAGGTCTTCGAAGTGCGAATGCGGTCACCGAGGTTCGACGGGAGTGGACTATCATCACAACCATCGCCTTGGAGGCCATGTAGTTCTTGGAAGGCAGGGAGGTTAGTCAAAACTGTCGTAGGCTTTTTCCTCTGGTGACCCAGCTTTCCTTGATCAAAGGTGACCAAGCGAAGACCAGCAATCCCAACCCAAGCCATCAGCTCCGGGAAGCACCAGAAAGAAGCGCTCTGCCCACCTTCTTCACCAACAAGATATTCAGCAGGATCTCGTGGTGATTCCAACAGCATGCCAACATTCGTCGATGTTCTGCGGCATTCTTGAGCTCGGATCCATAGACCCATGTGCTTCATGCACAAAGCCGTGTCGCCATGTACCAGGCAAAGTTCTTCCTCCGAGAGGTCATTGAGGCACCAGCGATCTTCTCCTCGACCACGAAGGCGACGAGGTCCTGGTAAAAAACCTGTTTCGAAGGCGACTCACGGTCCTGCAGGGAGGACCTCCAACAATCGCAACGATGCGTCCCAAGGACGCCAACTTCCACAAGTAGCCCCAAACGGCCGGGTTGCGCAGGTTCAAAGAGGAGTTGATCTCCGTGTCAATGCACAGCAAGAGTATCCTCCTCCGCCAACACAGTTCCACTTCTTCGCATCAGGACCACTGAATAGGTGTACAATGACCCCCTTTCCAGTGAGGTGTGCCCTCCGAATTCTCCGGTTCCAGGGCGTTGTAGTTGGATCTTGGCTCTGTCCAGCCATGCGTTGAAGAACAGGATGTGGTAGTTGAGGAAAATGCTTCTGCCGCCACTGCCGGTCCTCCTCAGAGAGCGCCACCTCCCCCCGATCCTCGAGCTCGATCTGGGAGAGCATGTCCAAAGCAGGTTGACGATGCATGATCGGGCAGCCATGTCGAAGCCAGCAATCGATCGCACCGTGTTGGGTGACGGATACTGCAACCCGTCTTTCGCCACTCCACCTTGCAGCCCCGTTCAACCAAAAGCCCCAATGGGATGATTAGGACAAAAGGGTGCGGTGCTTTGGACGGCGATACAAAACTGTAGTACCTGTTGTAAGTTCAACCTCGATGGGAGTCATCTCGCTCCTTTCATCAGGGCGTGCAGTTCGGAGGGCATGTGGTGCCCCTCCGTCTTAAGGAGTGCAAAACCTTGAAGACTCGTGTTCACGGGCTCCACAAAGACCTGCTTCAGGCGAACCGCTTTCAAGGTCCTGAGCGTCTTGAGGAGAGTTGTAGCTTCATCAAGGAGGACAGAAGCGGAATCAACCTTTGACTTTTGGTCACCCCCCAGCTCCTTCTCCGGCGAACCACCACCATTCTTTCCCGATCCACCTCCAGACACCGTTGGCGATGACAAGAGCGATGAACTCGGAGATGATGTAGTTCCCGAAGCCTCAGAATTTCTGTATTGTGTTTCCTTGGTAGGACTGTCCTTCGACACCTCCTCACCAGTGCCTTTGACCTTGGCATTCTTTTTGAAATCCTTGGTGCCCCTCTAAGAGGTAAGGACAGTCTTTCATCATGTGACCTTCTCCTGAACAGAAGAAACATCTCTGTTGACGATCCAGTCCATCCCAGGAGTGCGCATAGCCACACGTGTCCCCCTCCGACAACCAGACTGAGAGCCCCAAAACTTGCACGGCGACCTTGGCTTCTCATCTTGGCCTTGGCTTGAGTGCAATACTTTCACAACAGGTGCAGCGGTCTGGCCAGACTGAGTCGATGATGTTGTAGCCGATGTCTTTGGGGCCACCACCAAGTCCTGGAGGAAGGTCAGGCTTGGTGCATGGCGGAACTCCCGTGCCCACAGGATCACCAGGAGGTAGTCCAGGATGTTCAGGTAGAACACGGCCACCATCAATGCCAGCGCTCGCGGCCGAGGCATAGGAAGAAGCATCACCAGGAGCTCCCCCATCAGTTAGCCTCTTGACTTCACGAGCGAACTTATCCTCCGCCTCCCGCAAGATCTGAGCTCGGATCTTCTCCACATCGCCAGCTCCGGGACTGGAAGGTGCAGGTTTCTTTCCACTGCTTTCAGCCATACGTGCATGCCCTTCACCTTTTGCAGCCTGTTGTAGTGAAGTGCTCCAAAAAGGATTCACAGTGCTGAGAGGCCCCACCGGAGTTGCAGCCGCATAGGGATCCAGCGTTCTTGGATGGAGAGCTTCGCGGCCCACCGATCCCACCATTGGAGAAACCATAGATCCATCCCGATCGGATCTCACATCCCTGACCGGGGTTCCAGCCGCCAACGCATGCCCTGGAGGACCTCCATGATCGTGCACATGAGGGACTCCCTGATCGGCTTGGCGAAGGAGTGGATCAAGTAGAGTTGGACCCGGTTGTTGAGGTCCTCGTAGTGCGTTCTGCAGAACTTCAAACGAGTGGCGCACCGCTTCTTGGAGATGCCCCAAACCCATCGACTGTCCCCTAGGATCCATCACCAGTTGGTGTACTTGTTCTTGTGCAGGGTGTGGTGGATGGTAGGTCACCGGAGGTCCTTGAGGCCCCAACGAAGCAGCCATAGAGCTCCCCAAACGCTTCACTTCGGCGGTCGTTGACGAAGCTGGCACAGAACGAGCCCTCGATCGAATTTCTTCCTCGATCAAAGCGTCCAGCCTCCGGTCAGCGGCACCAATCTCCAGGGGCTTCGTCGAGGGTTCCCTGGAGGCAGCTGAAGCATCCTTGGCAGCAGCATCCTTGGCAGCAGCTTCCTCCTTCCTTTCACGGGAGCGCTGCTGCTTGCGTCGTCGATGTTGTTCCATGGGGACCAACGACCCACAAAAAAGTGAGGTGGACTTCTACCTCTACCAGCCCGTCTTTGGGCTCATATCATAACCTAGGGAAGGTTGGGTGTGTCGTGTGGTGCTGCACGGATCCTTTTCTCCGCGCAACCTTGAGCCAAACGATATTCATCGAATGGCGAGTTCACCTGAGTGGTTTCAAGTACACCTTTCGTTTTGTACACCTGACAGCAAACGAAGTTTGGAGGTTGGTGGTCCATTTCAACTGCCACAGAAACAATACCCTGAACTCAGATAGGGAATGGTGGGCGGAAACTGTGTCAAGTCCTCTCAACCAAAAGCAAGCCAATCCACACTTGACAATGCGAATTTGTGTTCAACGACATAGTGCTAGTAACTATTACTCGTATTACCCTCAAAAGTACCAATGCATGCAGTAAAAGAACAAAAAACACCCAGCTCCAGTCAGACCGGTCAGACCTTGCAGCTTTCAGATTCCTCCCATGGCTGCCAACTTGGAGTCGCCTGGGCACGAAACCGCAGCTCGCCGGGGTCCAACTGCTTTGCAAAGTAGTATTCAGAGTCTACGCAAAGATCATGGCATAGCCCTGTATTGCAGCTACTAGTAACAAGAAGCTACTAGGGGCTCCTGGCATCGCTACTAGGAGCAAGGATTCTACGCTTTCTGCTCGCTGCTTTCACAGCAGTCTGGCGGTCGACCGGCCTCCGTGTGTGAAGCTCAACGGGCGCCCTGCGCTGCCGCCGGTGCCGCCGTCGCCGCCCCAGCGTTGCAGCTCAGTGCCTCACGGCTTTCAGAAGTGCAAAGAAGATGTCTAGAAAGGTGAAAAGCACAGTACAACCAGCAAATGATTGACCGTCTCTGCGTCAAAAGGATGACATTGATGGATTTGCAAGTTGGTACCAGCTGACAATGTCTTTATTTGAGTCAAGCTGGCAAGGCTAAGGTCTTGGCTTTGTGGTGCTTCTAAGATCTTCTAAAAGGAGCTATTAGGAACAATAAGCTACTAGGGGCTCCTGGCCTTATTACTAGGAGCAAGGACGCTACTAGGGGCTCCTGGGAGCAAGGACGCTACTAGGAACAAGAAGCTACTAGGAACAAGTGCATCGCTTCTAGTAACAAGTGCCTTACTAGCAGTAACAAGGATGCTACTAGGAACAAGAGAGCTAGTCCAAATGTGGCCGACCCCAATGGACCGATCCGTTCAGGAACCGAACGGATCGAAGGACACATGGCCTCTATGGGGGACGACGCCAACTGCATGTTCCGGTCCCTCCATCTCCGTGTCAGCTATAAAGCCATCATCCTTGGACTGCAGCTGGCTGGATAGAAGCTGTTTTCAGTCGTGTGAAAAAAAATTATTGAAAGATGTTGTTTTCTCAGAAAAGTGCGAGATGGGTCTGCGCGGATAGACAAAAATCCTACAAGTATTCTGCAATGTGTTTCCCAACTGCTGTGCTTTGAGGGATGGTCAAGATGAATCGTTTGCCTGCCACCAAGAAACCTTCGTCGGAGTTGTGACCCAAGTAGCTTAATACATCGATGAGTCTGGTGACATTGGTCCCCCCGTCATTCCAGCGTTGCTTCAGACTCAGGACAATCCAAACAGTTCTTTCTGAAGGTGTCAGTTATGACCAAAGCAGCTTGGTTTCGTACGTGGCAAGAAGAGAAGTGCGGAAGAAACGTCTGATGCTGGTTCATCTGGTTCTGAACCTGAAACCTAACAGCGATGGCCTCCAACCCAATAGCGATGGCCTCCAACCTAATAGCAATCTTGTTCTCTGAACCTGAAACCTCTTGGAGTTGCCACAAAGGTGGCTGCATGATTCGCCTCTTGCGGGACCACTGGGTCCTCCCTATTCGATTGCAGCACAAGCGGCTCCCGCATCGTCCAAGGTGCCAAAGAGCGCATCCTCGCCACTGCAAGAACTCCTTAGATCAGCAATTTCGTGCCCATCCGGACCCGAAGACAGCTCGAAGACAGCTGTGGAAAAGGTGAAAAGGCTAAGTCCACGACTGGCTTACTTAGGTTTCTAACCAAGGGGAAGGAATGTTTGGCTCGCTGCCCCCAGACAAACAGAACAAAAGCATCTCTTGAAAATAGTAAAATCTCCCAAGCTTCAAGAGCGCCTCTCTGAATGATTGCAGAGTCAATGATTCTCCAGACCTGTGGGAAGTTCGTCGGTCATCGATGTGCCTCTCTTTACGCTTTGTTGACCGGCAATCTCCCTGGGAAGAAGGCAAACTGCTCTACATGAAGCTTGTATGTCAAATGATCACACCATTTGGTTTTGCTGACAACAGCTGCTTAGAGGCTTTGATGCAAAGAGCGAGCCACAGCAGAACGAAACACTTGGGAAGAAGTTGTGAGGGTGCCTGACTACCAGCTAAACATCTTGAGATTCTATGACTCACCCATGAACACAAAAAAAAGAAGGATCAAGGAAGCAAGTAGTATTAATAAATGCAAAAAGCACAACCAGGATTAAATGATGCGGGCCTATCTTTGACTTGCCAACGCTCAATCCAGATCTTCACCAGCTCATTGCTGGAAGGCACTGGAGTCATCTGGCAAGAAAGTGTGTGAACCACGAGGTTTCGACAGGTTGGTCGGACTCCTACTTGCAATCTTTGTACTCTAGTCGATAGAAACCTTGTTAATAATATACAAATTAATGCCATATAACGAGAACGCTCAGCATGTGGCTGGCTAGACTGCACTGGATTGTATGGTGATTGTGTTTGGACCTTGGTGTTGTGGTATCTTTCGGCAGATCAAGCGTTCGAGGGTCCTTGTTCCACCTTTTGGGGCGACGAATATGATGAATATGTTGACTTGCAACCAACTTCGCGGACGGCGCGTCCGAAAGCGAACTCATTTCACCGACATTGTCATGGCCTTGGCAACGGCTGCTGGTGCACTGCTATTTCGCTGGGGTAGTCCTAGCAGTGCTCGCAAGCTTGGCACAACAAGCGACTCGTGTGCTGGGACCTCTGCGACAAGGTGCAAACCAAATTCACACCCTCTGCTCGAATTCGCACTGCAAGCATCTTGCGAAGAACTCAAAACTGATCATAGACAAACTGGGTGTCGATTGCATGACTCATACATGAAGGGAGTGTCTGATTGGCAATTTCCCCCTTGCGTCTTTTTGATGCTCGATGAAATTCGATGAATACACGTGTGCAAAGTAGATGGCCGTCCTGCCACATGTGCCAGCAAATCACTTGCGCTCAGCATGCCATCGCGATCGACATCTAAAAAGCTGAAAGCCAGGCGTACAGCATCTGGAAAGGCCTGGACTGGTGGACCAAGCAGGGTGAGCATCCGGAAAGGCCTCTGGAAAATATGGAAAAGTCATGGAGACTGGAACAAATCAGGCTGTACGTTCAAAGGCATCACTGCACAATGTTGGGGAGCCTTAACTGTAGGACACCTATTTCCAAGTTTTATTGAGATAGATAAAGACATCTCGCAACAGAAGATCACCTGGTTCTTCTCCAATGAGGGGGTCCTGTCAATTCTTTCAAGGAAGAGGAACACCATGTCAATACACATTCCGAGATTCTGTCCGCTCTTGAAGCCATTGGAAGACGGGCGCCGTGCCAAGTTCACGAGCAAGTTGCCACAAGAAGCCAGCCTTCGCTTTGCGCACATCGCCCCACGATTTCTGCCAGATTCTACCAACCTTCATGCAACTGAAGAAATAAGCTAGCCGGTCTCTTGTCTGTCAATACTCCCTCTAAGATGTCACAATGTCACATAGTTTAGACATGGGGCGCATGCCCAGCTGGACCAAGTCCAAACGTCGACCTCACCTTGTTCATGATACCGTCTAGTCCTTTTGGCATGTGTTCATTATTCTGTGCTCAAGGCCTTTTGGGCTTATCACCGCCCAGTCTCAAACATCTCAGACAAATTTGATGCAAGATCCTCCACTCACCAGGCAAACTCGTCTCACTTGCCTCTCGTAGGTCACCCCCATAACGCAGCTGCCGCAGACGTTCATGCTCCATGCCCTCAAGGGCACCTTCTGATGTCACGGAATTGTCGCGGGAGTTGGTTGAGATACATCTCCATCTAGAGAGCACCGGCTTGATCTGACTTGCAGCCGGCCAATGGTAACCGTCCTATGTATGTATATTATACTATTTTATATACTGTATATATATATATATTAGAACACTTAAACTTCCCCAAAAGTCTAGGAACCAAATGAATAGTGCGAGCACTTCTTCAAGGAAGCTCCCCCCACCGCCCTTCCTTGAAGAAGTGTGAGCTAACTATCCTGCGTCCGAATCAGTAGCTACTTGTTAGCTACTAGCTATATACCTCTTCTGCTAGCTACGTAGCTAACCTACCTCACCTACCAACCAGCGGCCTACCTTACCCCCCCCTTAAAAAAAAAAAATACTTTACTTCGAAATTCCCCACCCTCAAAGAATTGGTCTTCACAAGAGAAAAGCGGTTCGGCGCGAAAAGGATTCTTTATTGAAAACAAAACCACACATCGAGTACTTACTTGTGAGGTTTCTGAACTTCGATATTTTAATGCCTGGCAACCCCGCATCCCTGCCAAGTCAACTTGTGGTGGATATGCTGTGGAACTGGTACTTGGGAGCACTCTGGTGAATGTGCTGGTGTAAAGGCTACGCTGGGCTACTCGGGGCCACTCTGGTGGATGTGCTGTGTAAGGGCTACTCTGGGCCACTGTGGGCCACTCTGGTGGATGTGCTGTGTTCTTTGGGTTGCTCTGAGCTACCCTGGGACCACTCTGGTGGATGTGCAGAAGTAGCGAGTCTACTGAAGTCCAAAGTTCTTAAAATCCAACAGCCCCACAGTCCTACGGGTGGGGAAAAAAACTGCTTTGATAAGTACATTACAAGTCTACAACTATCCTGCGATCTCTTTGGTAAATGTGCTGTGGAGAAGCTAAGTTGCGCTACTAAAAACTGTGGTTGCTGTGGACAAGCTAAGTTGAACTACTTAGAAAACAGTTTGTGAATGTGCTGTGGAAGAGCTAGGCAGCTAGGTTTAGCTACTCAGGGATCAGTTTGGTGAATGTGGTGTGAATACTCAGAGGTCATTTTGGTGAATGTGCTGTGGAAGTGCTACGTTGAATTACTCAGGGATTACTTTGGTGAACAGGGATCAGTTTGGCGAGCGTGCTGTGAAAGAACCACTTTGGGCTACTCAGAGATCACCTTGGTGAACGTGCTGTGGAGAAGCTAGCTTGAATACTCAGGGATCACTCTGGGGAACGTGCTGTGGAAGAGCTACTTTGGGCTACTCCGGGATCTCTTTGGTGAACATGCTGTGGAAGTGCTGCGTTGAACTACTCAGGGATCACTTTGGTGAGTGTGCTATGGAAGAACTGCTTTGGGCTACTCAGGGATTCCTTTGAACGTGCTGTGAAAAAGCTACTTTGGGCTTCTCAAGGATTACTTTGGTCAACGTGCTGTGGAAGATCTAAGTTGGGCTACTCAGGGATTACTTTGGCGAGTGTGGTGTGGAAAGAGCTAAGTTGGGCTAGTCAGGGATCCTTTGGTGAACGTGCTGTGGAAAAGCTACTTTGGGCTTCTCAAGGGTTACTTTGGTCAACGTGCTGTGGAAGATCTAAGTTGGGCTACTCGCGGACTACTTTGGTGAGTGTGCTGTGGAAGGGCTAAGCTACTCAGGGGCCACTTTGGTGAGTGTGCTGTGGAAAAGCTAAGTTGGGCTACTCAGAGACCACTTCGTGAGTGCGCTATAGAAGAGCTAAGTTGGGCGACCGGGCGTACTGAAGTCCGAAG